GGCGCGCGGCGCACGGCTAGCAGGGGCGCCGTGGCTTCGCGCGCCCCAGCGGCGGCTCGGCAGCGCGGGCGACTTGGGGCGGCGCTGAATGGTTGGCCGAAGCGCGTGGCGCGGCGACCACGCAGCCCCGGCTGCATCAATATGAATCAAAATGCAACACATTAGACTTTACATACAAAACATTTCGACACGGGAGGCATACGGGGCTTTCGGCCGTGCAATCTCGAAAGCCCCCGCCCAGCCGCCCCCGCACCTGCATCAGGCACTCCTGCGCCGCCGCCCGCATGTGCCGCGGCGCCGCCGGCGCCGCGTAGCGCCGCAGCAGCCGCCGCACGTCCGCCAGCAGCGCGCGCGCCGCCGCCGCGGCCGCGTGCGCGGTCAGCCCGTGCAGGTCCGCCCCGAAAGCCGCCCTCAGCCCGTCGCTCATCGCCGCCTCGGGCGGCGCGACGACGCGGCACGCCAGGTCAGCAACCGCCCTCAGGCACGCGACCCCGAGCACGCACTGGTGGGTGCCCACAACGGCCTCGTGCGCCAGCTGGCGGTCGATGGCCGACAGGATCGCCGCCAGCTGGCGCTTCTCGGCGGGGCGGCAGCTGCCGAGGGCGCTGACGAGGCCGGCGAGCCAGTGGGCGTCGTCGAATGCGTTGTGGGAGTTGTCGTTGTCGCGCAGGGCCTCCAGCAGCTGGTGGATGATCCAGTCGGGCGTCTGGCTGCGGGATGGTTCGAGTTGTTTGGGGGAGGGGGCGGTGGGAGGGAGATTTGGGGAAGGGAGGGGGCGCGGGGCGAGAGGGGTGCGGCACCCCAAAAAAAGGGGGCGCCGGGCGGCCGGGCGGCCATGGCAGGAGGCTGCAGCGTCGGAGCCGCCGGCTTCCACGGCTGCGAGGGCGATCGGAGCGCCCCCAAACGGTCGCCGAACGCCGCCCGACGGCGCAGCACATCGAATTTGCTGTTTGCCCCCTGCCCCCCGCCGCGCCCGCTTCGAGGGAAGGTGAGCAGCGGCGGCGCCGGCGGCGCCGTTGTGGCCGCGGGCGCCGCTGCCCGTGCGGCTGCCGCTCACTTGGATGAGTCACGGACGAGGGCCAGGGCCGCGGGCAGCGCGCGCAGCACTATGTACTCCGCTGTGTCAGCGAAGCAGTTGGGGCGCAGCGCTGCGGTGACCGGGTCGTAGCACTGTTCTCTGGAGTGGGTGGGTGGGGGTGACGGGTGGGGCTAGTCGTGGGCGTGGGGTGTTGCACTTGCGGGAACCATGCGTCGGTGTCGATGAGCGTGCTCAGTCCACGAGGGGGTTGTGGAACAGAGGTGGGTGGGTTGAGTGGGGTGGATTTTGAGGGGCGCCGTGGCCATTTGAATGAGCAATCCGGGCGTCACCTCGGCCCACAGAAGGCCAGGTATTACGCGAGTTGCGGCGGTCAAACGACAAAGGGCGACTGCTGAAGGGAGCCTGCCCAACGCCAGGGCCCAAGCGCAGGCGCGTGTAAGAACGGTTGCACATGACAGCGCACCTCCAGTATCCGACCAGCGCATGCGCGCCCCGCATGTGCGTCGCGTCCCCCGCGGTCGCGCCCAGCGCGAGCGCCGCGTCGGCGCGCACGCGGCAGAACAGCGTCGGGCGGCGCAGCGCGGCGGCGAGGACATCAATAACGCCCTCATGCACCGGCTGAAGGGCTGCCAGGCCGGCCACGGCCTGGGCCTGGCTGATTACATCCTTGGACTGGCGCATGGGGACAGGGGTGGGGTTGCAGCAGGAGGAGGGGTTTTTAGAGTGTGCGATTCGGTGGAAACGGCGTGTGACGGAGGGATGTGGAGGGTGCAGGGCGCTTGTGGATGTGGCGGGGCGTGCGGTTTAGCACACTCTCTGTGGCTCCGGATGGCGAGGCTTGACGAACGGGCCGAGCTAACGGGGAATGGTGTGGGCTGGCAGGCTGAGACAGGCGAGTATGCGCGCCTACGATGAGTCCCCCTTGTCAGCGCCGGCCCCACACCCGCCAGCCCGCCCAACGGCTACGCTCCGCCCGGCCCGTGCATGGCCGCAGCCCACCCCTCCGCGCCCCCGTGCGCCGTGCCGCCGCGCCTCACGTGCTGCAGCTGCCAGCGCCACATGTTGAGGGGCTGCGCCATCCGCACGTCTGCCAGCCACTCCAAGTTGGGGTCCAGCCGCACCCACAGCGCCGCCACGCCCGCCAGCTCTGACTCTGGGATGCCCAGCTTCTCGGCAGAGTCGGGGTTGACGCCGGGGCCGGTGGCAGGGTCTGGGGGTGAGTGAGGGTGGTGACAGGGTGCGAGCGCGTGCGTCTCGTGCGTTTGTGTTATGCATGCAACTGTGTGTGTGTGTGTGTGTGTGTGTGTGTGTGTGTGTGTGTGTGTGTGTGTGTGTGTGTGTGTGTGTGTGTGTAGTTATTGAGTGAGTGTGCTTGTGTGCGCGAACGGGGTACGTTTGTGCACACGTGCGCAAGTGAGTGCACGTGCACACACCCATAGGTGCACCTGCCTGCATATGCGCCGTCCTAGTCAACACAACGCACAAACACACACACACACACACTCACGCGCGCGCACACACGCGGGCATGCGCGCACGCGCGCACGCGCACGAGTAACCCTCGACCCCCGCCACACGCCCGCCCAGCCCCCCCTCACCCTTGGGCTCCTTGGGGCGCCGCCCCGGCCCCCTCTTGACGGACTGCCTGTCCAGGCTGACCTCCAGCTTGCGCAGCGCCAGGGCCTCGTCCACCCCCAGGGACAGCAGGTGCTCCACCTCACCCCCAAGCTCCCGCACCATGACCTGCGGGGACAGGGGGAATGTTGGGGCCGAGGGAGAACCAGGGTTGGACCCACCGGGAGGCTCGGGATTGCGGGAGGTTTCGGCTGAGGGAGGCCTGGGGTTGAAAGATGCCCGGGTGTGAGCAGGATCTGAACCGTATACATACGTTGACAAGGGCCAGTGTGGAGGTGGGGGGCGGCGGGCGGAGGCGCCGGACAAGGGTCGGGGTGGCGTGGCGGGCGACGGCTGCGGAGAGCGCCAAAGCAGGGGCGCCTGCGCCAGGACGCGCGTAGCTGCCGGCCGCTTTGTTTGGCCGGCGGCCAGCGCCAGTTTCGTCCGCCACGCCGCACCGCGCCGCCGCGTCGGCCCTAGCCATGCGCCGAACTGCACAACCGCCAGCCCGCTACGGACGCGCCCACGAATGCGCCGGTGCAACGGATGGCAAGCACATACCACCCCTCACAATAAAATGCCCTCAGTACACACACACACACACACACACACACACACACACACACACACGCTCGCGCACCTTGAGGCCCTCCGCCTTGGCCTTTGACCTCAGCGCCGCCTTGAGGCACTGCAGCCCCCCGCCCTGCCGCAGCGCGACCTGCAGCACGCTGTTGCGCGCGTCGTACCCGTACGCGCCCTGCAGCACGGGCATGCCGGCGCCGTTGACCCAGCGGGCGCGGAACGCGTTGGCGTCCTCCTTGGCTGTGGTGGCGCTGCCCTCGGCCTTGCGCCTCATGTTTTTGAGGAACCAGGCGGTGCTCAGCTGCAGGCGGGGCTTGATAGGGTCGGCCGACTCGACTGCAAGGGGGAGGTTGGGTGTGTGTCGGCGGCACGTGCAGGGTCTGAGGGAGCAAGAAGCCGCCGGCCTGCGAGCGTAGATCGCGGCAGGGCGCACAGCCGAGGTTGGGGCGCCCCTCGCTCCCGGGCCTCTGCTTGTGAGTAGAGCCGGCCGCCTTGACGGCGGAAGCTCTGCAGTGTTCCAAAAAGTCAGGCCGTGGGGGACCTCCCCGTCACCGCGGCGTGACGGTGACGTCATCCGACGTCACCACCCACCCGCTGCGACCTCGGGCCGCGCCGCCACCACGACGCGCTCCAGCATGCGCTTGAACTCCTCCCCCTCGCCGATGCGGCGCTCCGCCATCAGCACCACCGCGGCCGCCTTCCAGCGGCGCGCCTCCCACGGCTCGAGGGACTAGAAGGCGAGCGGGCGGCGGGCCGGAGAGCGGCGGGCGGCAGGCGGCGGTTGCGGGACGGGCGGCGGTTACGGGACGGGCGGCGGTTGCGGGACGGGCGGCCGTTGCGGGACGTGCGGCGGGGCGGGCTGGCTGGCGCGCCGGCTCCCCACACGGCAGCCCTGGTGCGCGTTGCCGCACCGCGTGCGGCCATCCGCGCGAGCGCTCGGTTTGGCTGGGCAACCAAGCGCCAGCGCGACGCGGCACATGGACAGAAGCTTGCAGGATTGCGCTGCCCCGCACCTGGCTGCCGTATGCGAGGCCCCACCCTGTGGTGGTGTCCTTGTTCACGCTCGGTCCCTGGTACGCGGCCGCCCCGCGCGCCCCGCCGCCGCCGCCGCCGCCGTCCTCGTCCCCGTCGCGGTCGCGGTCGCGGTCGCGGCGGCCGCCGCGCTCCCTCTCGCGCTCCCGCTCGCTGCCCGGCAGCACCTGCGGGCGGGGCACGCGTGGCACTCTCGGCTGCCGCTCTCTGCTGCCCACTCTAAACATCGACCTCCATATATCGCACAGGTTGTTCACAAGCAACCCACCACATCCGTCTGCCTGCACAGCGCCTCGACATAGGTGGCCCAGCAACGATCTCTCACCGCCCCCATACCCAGCCCAGTGCTGCAGCGGCGCACGCCAGCACACGCGCGCAGGAGCGCGCCTGGCTCAGCGGCGCCAGCTGCACCCCGTCGTCGACTGCCGCGAGCGCGACCCGCTCCTGCCAGCGCCGGTACGCCACCTCGTTGCCCCCCAGCAGCGAGCGCAGCGCGCCGCCCTCCAGCCAGGAGGCGAGGCCCTCCAACAGCCACGCGTCCTCTGGGGCCTTCGGGGGACAAGGGGGGCGAGGGGGGCAGGCGATTGACTGCAAGGCCACTTGCGGCGCGGGCGCTGCACACCACCCATACAGTTGGTTTCGGCGGGGACGGAGGCGCGACCAAGCCGGGCCGAGGGTCTGGAAACCGTGCGCGGGGGCCCAGTGGCAGCGACGCCCTGCACGAGCCGCGACCCCGACGGCAGGCGCCGCTCTCACGGCCACGGCGCGCACACACACGCACGTGCGCATAATCACACACATACACACGCGTGCGCGCGCACCGGCGGCAGCATGAGCACCCCGAAGAACTGCCGCGAGATGGCGGCCGCCAGCGCCGCTACCACGTCCATGGCGGCCTCGATGCTGCCCTCCGCCGCCACCAGGTCGGAGCTCAATAGGATGCAGCCGAGGCCGGACAGGTAGGGCGCGGCCACGCAATCCGCGGGCAGCACGGCGACCTGAGCGCGCGCGCGCATGGGGTGGCATGGGATTGCATGGGGTCGTGCCGGCTTGCGTGGGGTCGTGTGGGGTGGCATGGGTTTGCATGGGGCAGCGTGAGTGGCATGGGGTGGCGTGGGGTGGCATGGGTCAAGCGGTCGCATGAGATGCCCTCATGCGCATGGCTGCTTTTGGGTGAGAGGGGCATGCGCGGGCAGCGCCGGGCCACTGCCGACGGAGCACAATCGGGCGGCCCTTGAGCAGGCACACTGCGAGGTTGTTGGGCGGTCTGCGCGCAGCAGGTGCTGGGAGTCCCCACCTGCAGGTGCGAAAACGGCGCCCGGCAGCCGAGGTGCTTCTCGCACTGCCGCAGCACCAGCGCCAGCGGCCGCAGCGTCGCCAGCACCGCCGCCGGCCCGACCGCCCCCTCGGCGCCCGTGCCGCCCGTGAGGCTCAGCGCCGCGAACGCCGCCGCCCCGTCCTCCCGCCCGCCGGAGTTGTTGCGCCACTCCTGATGCTGCTGCTGCGCCTCGCCCGGCTGCCGGCCGGCGCTCGCGGTGCGCGACCCCGCCCGCGGATAGAACGCCGTGACCACTGGCGGCCCCGCAATAGCAGCGGCGGCCACACCGCCGGCCCCTGCCGCAGCGGCCGCCGCCCCGCCGCCACCGCCGCGCGCCGTCGCCCCGCCGCCAAAGAGCTGCTGCGCAGCCAGCACCTCAAACGGCCCCGCGGCGAACAGCACATGCTGCGGCAGCGTCGGGACATCTATTGAATACTCAAACGTGCGCGCCACCACGCGCTGCGCGCCGCTGCCGCCGCTGTTGCGCTGCTGCTGCTGTGGCTGCTCGACAGCCTGCGTCTGCTGCACCAGCGTGCCGCTCGCCACCGCCACATCGTCGGGGCCGACGATCAAAGACAGGTCATACGTGTGCGGCGAGACGAACGCAGAGCCGGGCTCATAGTACACGGGCCCGTCGACGCATGGGAAGATGGCGCGGCTGCGGCGCAGCTGCGGTGAAGTCGCCATGAAATCGCCCGCAACGAGGACAGAGCCGTCGCGGCAGGGCTTGCTGAAGCGGATGTGAACGCTCACTTCCAGCGCCTGCAGCCGTGCCCCCGGCGCTGGAGACGCTGCGGGCGGCTGTGACCCCGCCGGCCGCTGCGTGCGTGGCGGCGGCGTGCCGGCGCCCGCCGCCCCGCCTGCGCCCCCGCCCACGGCAGGCGGGGGCGTCGAGCGCGCCGCTGCGCCCTCGCTTGCTGCGCCGGCTTGCAGCTGAGACCCCTGAGCCTGCTGCTGCTGCTGCTGCTGCTGCTGCTGTGCCGCCGCCGCTGCTGCCGCCAACAGCGCGTCTGGCAATGCAATGCTCAGCTCCGGCGGCTGCTCCAGCTGCATCTGTCGCAGGTATGTGCTGTACGCCTCGTCAGCCACCGTGCGCAGCGGCTCCTGGCCCCTGCCAAGCGCCGCGAGTGTCGGCTCGGCCAGGGAACGCGTGGGATACTCCCGCAGCTCGTGCTAGCGGTGGCGGCGGAAATGGTATCGGCGCGGTTTGGCAGGATATGGGTGAGCAAGATGATTTCGCCCGTTTGGGTGGGGCGGCCGGGCCAAGCAGCTGCTGGCGCCATGGCCGCATTCGGCTGCCAAGGCTGGGCCCGGTGCCCTTGCGGCGTGCCGCTGGCAGGCACGCACGCTGCTCCTGCTTCAGCTGCTGGAGCCGCCGCCGTATGCAGTGCTTTCGGCGCTGCCGGTTCTGTCATGGACCCGCTGCAGCGCCGACCGTGCGTGCTGCCGCCGCACCTGTGCTGGGACGCCATCGACGAGCACCTCGTGTACGCGCAGGTTGAAGCAGTGCAGCGCCACGCTGGTCTGACCAGGCGCCAGGGAGACCTTGAGCTCCGTGTGACTGCAGGATCATGCAAGGTCGGCGCTTGAGCAAACCAACACGTGACCTGCGCGCGACAGCAGCGGAGTGCGCACCCGCCCAAGGCATCCGTCAGGGGGTGCTCACCCGCTCCATAGCCCCAGCCGCTTGTCGAGGCGTAAGGTGACCGCCTGGTGGAGCACCGTTTGCATCCTGTCACACCATCTCAATGTATGAGCTAGTGTAGATCATGAACTCTGCGCTGTCGTCCAACTACATAACGCTACAGAAGCCAATGCCTTTCACATTCGCTGATATGCACGGGTGGACAGCAAACAGCATTGCCTGCCGAGCGGGTGGGTGGGTGAGTACACAGTGGATGAGTAGCGGTGGCCGCGCTGCACCTGTGCTTTACAAAGGCCGTGCACTCACCCGTAACATTTGATCGAAAATCAGGCGGATACCAGGATTGCTGCAACACAGGCGTTTACAAGGCCCAACCACTTATCCGCACTCTGTTTGCACTTGCCTTCGTGTCCACTGAGAGGTGCGTGGGACACGAGCACAGTCTAGCTTCATTGAGCTGCAGCTGACATGACTGCCCTGCTTGAAGGCTGCAAGTCTGCTCGGATCTTTGGCCCGCGTTTCGGTCAGCGAGTTGGCAACAGGGACACCAGAGTGGCATGATATAGAGAACAACGGTGGGGCCGTCCCAAAGTCGCGTCGGCCGCGCAGCAGCAGCAGCAACAGCAGCGAATGCGTGCCATGATGCACTGCAGCAGCTGAGGTTCACACCAGGACGCCCCCGCTCGCCACGCTCCTTCTGCCTGCAGGCGTCCCGCACTGCGACTCGGCGCGACGTGCGCCAGCCATGAACGCCAAGCGCGGCATCAGCGATGAGGAGAACGAGCGCCACAAGCGCGTCCTGGCGCTGCTGATGAAGCAAGAGGGCAACAAGCAGTGCGCCGACTGCAAGACGCGCAACCCCACCTGGGCCAGCGTCAACCTCGGCGTCTTCGTGTGCCTCACCTGCAGCGGCATCCACCGGTCCCTGGGCGTCCACATCTCCCAGGTCCGCTCCTGCAACCTCGACACCTGGCTGCCGCGCCAGGTCGAGTTTATGCGGGTGATGGGCAACCTGAAGGGCAACCGCTACTGGGAGGCGCAGCTGCCGGACCACTTCAAGCGCCCGCCCGGCGGCGAGCCCAACCCGGAGCTTGCGGCCTTCATCAGGAGCAAGTATGCGGACCGGCGCTACGCGGCGGCGGACGCGCAGCCGCCCAACATCGACAACTGGCAGGCGCACCCCTACGCCGGGGCCGCCGCGGCCGCCGAGCCGGCGGCGCC